AGCACGAGAGTCACCAGCAGGTCGTGTCCCGGATTCGAGTCACCGCGGGCCGGCTGGAGCTGGTGGTGGTGGACCCGGACACGGAGCAGCTGCTGAAGAAACACAACATGAAGTGCCTGAAGGAGTATGTCACTGACGGGGTGCCCTTACCCTTCGACGAGGAGGAAGAAGAGGAGGGAGAGGAGGTGGTGGTGGTGGTGGTTGAAGCAGAGGAGTTGGACGGGACAGTAAACGGGGATGAGAGGCATGCAAAGGAGGGTGAAGAAGACGAGGAAGAGGACCGGGAGGGGACACCCAGGGAGTCCACGCCAGTCCCGGAGAGAAACGGGGAAATCCACATGCACGTCGAGAAAAAGCTGAGCATCAACTCTGAGAAGGTGAGTCAAAGTTTGAAAAAAAAGTTTATGCTCACTCATTACAACATACAATAGCATTTAATTCCACAAGTGACATTAATAGAGCTGACCTCTGAATAGTCGACTAATTGGTAGTTCTGCTATCAGTCGACTAACTTTTCTTTACTGAATGACAGACTTCCATAACACTTATGTGCAGTGTGCACATCTCTGGTGAAGAAAAGAGATAAGATAAGATACCATAAAACAAGTCAATATAAGTAAGATAAGATACACATTTATTAAGCAATAATAAAGTGAAACGCAGGATAGGACAGATAAGAGTTAACCCTGCTGAAAAAAACCAGCCTGACGATATTCGGCTGGAATGGTTGGCTGTTTAGAGGGGTTTTGGACTCTGGATGGCTGGTTTAGCTGGTTTAGCTGGTGCACCAGCTAAACCAGCTAAACCAGCCATCCTGGCCAGCTAAAAGCATAGACCAGCATAGTATGCTGTCTATGCGGGGCTGGTCACCAGCAGGCATCCATCTATTATGTTTAATAATAGTATTAAATATACCATGCTGGAAGCTTACCAGGATTCCAGGGGACCAGCATTGTTTAAATACTGGTATGATTATTTAAACCAGAGAACATAAATATATTACAAAGATTCATTGTCATGTATTCTGGTATCTACCCAAAATAAAGACATTGTATAGTGTTCATAACAGTATTTTTTAATGTAATAAATAGCTAGTTAATATAATAAAATACACAGTAACAATACCATAATTATACAAAATAACAACCAACCTGCAAATCAACCTGTTTTAGATCAAAAATAAATATATGATCTAAAACAGGTGCATTTTGATTTAAATAGTAACACAAACATTAACACTATGTATGATATAAAAAAAGAAGTGTTTTTTGTTTTTCCTTGTTCATGTCCATAATGTTTCCTGTTGTGTAGTGTCCAGCCTTTTCCAATCTGGCCTGCATTGTTGTCTGTTGAAGCCACTTCTTGAAGCAACTGAATAGAAATGTACAGATATAAGTACAACTGTAAAAGAAAACTTGACATTTACGTTAACATTTGGGGCTGCTGTGGTTGCCCAGAACTTGACCGTTTAAAGTATGGTAAAATACATTACAAATGACAGTTGGTTGGCATAGACAGTCAACAATCGCTTATGGTGAATTACAGTGGCGAAAACAAATAGAGCTAGTGTTCACGGTGCAGCTGTATTATCTGGGAAATAGAATAATGGGATCAGGATTCGGTATTGGCAAACAATCCATATCAAATGAATCGGATCATTATTAGCATCAGCATTTGATCACCTGTGTCGACTTGCAGCCTAAATAAAAAGATAACTCAACTCCTCTCCTACCACTCTTACCTCTAATAAGCCTTGGTAGAACTAGTGTCCGAGTCATAGGGTCCAGAACTGACTGAAGACATGTGGAACAGAGTCATAGGGTCCAGAACTGACTGAAGACATGTGGAACAGAGTCATAGGGTCCAGGACTGACTGAAGACATGTGGAACAGAGTCATAGGGTCCAGAACTGACTGAAGACATGTGGAACAGAGTCATAGGGTCCAGAACTGACTGAAGACATGTGGAACAGAGTCATAGGGTCCAGGACTGACTGAAGACATGTGGAACAGAGTCATAGGGTCCAGGACTGACTGAAGACATGTGGAACAGAGTCATAGGGTCCAGGACTGAAGACATGTGGAACAGAGTCATAGGGTCCAGAACTGACTGAAGACATGTGGAACAGAGTCATAGGGTCCAGAACTGACTGAAGACATGTGGAACAGAGTCATAGGGTCCAGGACTGACTGAAGACATGTGGAACAGAGTCATAGGGTCCAGAACTGACTGAAGACATGTGGAACAGAGTCATAGGGTCCAGAACTGACTGAAGACATGTGGAACAGAGTCATAGGGTCCAGGACTGACTGAAGACATGTGGAACAGAGTCATAGGGTCCAGGACTGACTGAAGACATGTGGAACAGAGTCATAGGGTCCAGGACTGACTGAAGACATGTGGAACAGAGTCATAGGGTCCAGAACTGACTGAAGACATGTGGAACAGACTCATAGGGTCCAGAACTGACTGAAGACATGTGGAACAGAGTCATAGGGTCCAGAACTGACTGAAGACATGTGGAACAGAGTCATAGGGTCCAGACTGAACTGAACTAGACATGTGGAACATGAGACAGGCATGGCTCCATGTACAGGGAACTGGGAAACTGGGTGTTTTTCATCTTTTCTGCCTGAAGATTCACAAGTTCTTGATGTGTGAAGTGTTTGATGTTTCGATGTGGCATGATCCTTTCTGCAGAACGATGAATAAAGAAAACGAAGAAAATATTTGTAATGATCGGTAACAACAAAATATTAGTATAACTATTTATATAGCACTTACCACAATTGCAAAGTGATTCTCACAACAAAAATAAAGAACAAAACAATATCAACAATAACAAAACAATGATTTATAGGAATGTGAGAGAAAAAGGAAATACTAAACATTCTAAGGGCCGACTACAAAGCTAGACTCAATGGCTCTTGATGAAATCAATGAGCCAGTCCCAATAGATGCTGTTGTATAAAAAAAATATAATGGGTCCAGAATTTCTTCTATTTTGTGTTGGATGATTTGTTTTATTGATTGCTGATGATTTAAGATGTGTTTTACAATTTATAAACAACAAATATTATTGTAATTGGAATCAAAAAGATTGCAAATCATAGTTTTAATAAAATCACTTTTGCAATATAGGGTTTATTCAACAGCAGTAAAGCATTAATGTTGCTAAATTAACGTACACTGAACTGTAAAACAACTTGACCACTATTTAGGAAAGGACCTGATCAGGAGGGTTGAACTAGTAGGACAGCAAAGAGGTGGAGGAGGGTCTATGTCATGTATCAACCATTGGTAGATGTTACACCTGAAAGAAAGATAAGGAAAATAAGACAACACCGGAGGACAAACATCCTCTTAAGTAAAAGACCAAATCATGTCAAGCTTCAACCTGAGCCTGTTTTTTCAGTCTTTACAATGCCACTGTTGGGAATTACATTCCAAAAGCTAAATTCAAACTCAATACCAAAAATAACTGGGTACCAAAGTGCTTTACCTGATAGAAACACTTTCCACACGGAGCAGCAACCATCCGGCCTGGGCCTTTTGCTGCATATCATCTCCTCCCTCTCCACTGTTTCCAATTAGATCTCTACTGTCCAATAGAACTTAAATTCCCCCAAAAATCATTATTTTTTTAAAAACAATAACTTGCTTTTGGGATTGAAATGGATTAGAATCTCACCTTTTCCTGGATGTCAGGAAGGCCAGGAAGTCGTTCCCTTCAAGTCCGCAACCAGTCATAGGAGTTCAAATGCAAAGCCCTGAACGATGACAAGAGCGGGAGACTTACATTTTACAATTATATTTTCATTAATACCAGAGCAGTGTGTACATAGGTCCTGAAAGACATTGCAGAGACAGATCAAATCCCCTGACAGACTCACACACTTTGGTGATGTCCTCCTATGATAATGTTTCATTTTTTAGCAGCACAAGTAACATTACTCAATTATATGTCGGACCCAACCTCATTTACAGTATGTTTTTGCATCTCCTTCAACAATGGTCGCTATCATTGAGTAGAAAACTGTCCCTACCAATTTCAGGTAGATTAACACACATTGTAAGAAAGTTTACAATGAAGCAACCTCTTTGTATTTAAGCGAGCTGCCACATAAAGTACAGCTTAACATGCCAACCTTTGGTAGAGAGCTACAGTTAGCTAACTTCATGTCAACACAAAAACCTCTAACGTGCATTACATTGACAATTTTTAAACAACGTAACTCTCTCAACTTGTGAGATAACATTAAGTTAACTTACCCTTAAATAACTACATCACGTTTTTCAGGGGAAACACAAACTGCAGAAAACGTTAGCTGCTAACTGTTGTTTAGCTCAAGACAGCTAGCTCTTGTTAATGGAATAGTAACAATAGCCTCCTAGCAAAATTAAGGTTAACGTGTTGTAAGAAAGCAAAACAAAACTTCGAGAAAGCTTTTACTCTCAGACTGGGTGACAATTGTGTAGTGTTGCTCAGTGGCGATTCTAGAGTCTGTGGGGGCCCTAGGTAAACATTCACTGGGGCCCCCTGGAACCAGCTTTTAATCACCACGCACAGCCACCCCCCCCATGACATCCATGCTGGTCTATGCTGGTTTAGCTGGCCAGGCTGGTCTTGAACCAGCAAGGACCAGCCTGGCCAGCTTGTACAGCCTGGTAGACCAACCTAAACCAGCCTAACACCAGCTAAACCAGCAACCATCTAAGCTGTCGTCTACAGTATGCTGGTTTTTTCAGCAGGGAAAGCAGAGTGATAATTAGACTAGAAAATCTCATTTCTAAGTAACAGTATACATTACAATTTAAAAGTGTTTAGAAATGTAACAGGTATGAATACTCCTGAATATGTTAAATATATATTTGAAAGTCCAAGTACAGTGCAAGTTATATGTGTACAAAAGGTGCAGGATGTTAAACGATGTTAAGATGGGGTCAAGCCTTGATTGTGGAGGCCTTATTGGTACATGAACATAGGCATTTTCACTATAGAGGGGGTGGTAGGGTCCAATGTTCTGCTCCTTCAAAATATTTAGATTTATGCTATTGAATGACTCCTGTGGAGAAACTATACTTAACAGAAATGCTCCATTTGTCGTCAAAATGGTATGATTCTTAGTTGACCAAGAAAGTCTTTAGTTGAGGACAGCCCTGGACATCAAACCCACTGAATGCATCGCTGAGGGAGTGTTTTCCAAAGAGAATAGGTGCTCTGTGTCTATAACACGGATAACATGGCAGCTGCTCCCACATGCTGCCAGGCTGTGGGCAGGGTCAGCTGGCTGGACATTCACTGTGGGTGAGAGGACAAACAACAACCTGGCCTCCTTTGGGGTCAAGGAAATCTTACCCATGACCCCCTTCTGTC